CAGCCCCTGCCATCACAGTTTTTAAGGCTAAAGACACCTAAACGAAATTTGCTGAACCATCGTTGACACTTGCGAACGTTCAAAACATTTCCATAAACTTCTTTGATATTCTTTGTGGCTACAGAGGCGTTCTTTCCCTTCTTTTGTTCAATGTGTGTTTCGTCGTGTACTATGACTATAAGGGATTATAGTATACTAAACTTTAAACATTACATAGGCTACACTAACGTGACGTTTAGGCGGTTCGTTTAACTATGATACGTGATGTACGTTTTTCGGGTGGTGGCTAATGAAAACGCGACATTAATTTCTCGATGACCTAATACATCCTATATGCAAATATTTGGGGGTTACTATTTTTCTTTCTTATTTAAGGTACACATGTTAAAGAAACAAGGCATAGTTTCGAAATAAAAAGGAACCGGGCCGTTAGGGGGAAACAATGTTTGCCAAATAAATATTTCTACGTGAATGAGTATAGTTAGCGTATAGCTAGTCAAAAATGACGGAGCAAGTGCTACCACCATCACCCCATAGTATACCCTAACCTCACATTTTATAGCTAAATGAAATAAATAAATTTTGCGAAATCAAGCTTGACCAACAAAGAGGCAGAAAAGTGCAGTCGAGGCAGTCAAACGTCAGTAAATTCATTTGTGAGCCAATCAAAATTTAGATCATTCATGAAATGAATTCGTTGTGTATTGATAAAATGATAAAAAGTTTAGAAAAAAAACTACCTTTATACTCCATATATATAACACTATGTTCCAACAATGGCTTTTATGTTACGTTGCTGAGCAACAAAAGTATAACCTAATATTATTGTTAATCTATGTACTGAAAGCATAAAATGAAATGTATAGACAACAAAACTGGGAAAATATTTGTTGATTTCTTAATTTAGAGTTTCCGCTGATTAAAGATGTTTGCTTTGTATTAAAAACGTTGATGATATAACAGAAAATAGCTTAATTCAGAAACGATTTAAAGTTTAAAATTGAATAGATATTTTTACTTTCATGATAAATTTTATGCACTTGGCTCTAGGCTATACCAACCCTCACTAAGATTTCACGTCACACACACCCCTCACAGTTCCCATTCACCCCTGTCACAAAAATCGTAATGAGCAAACAGTTAATGAACTGTTCTAGCCGAACAAATGGATTCTGGCTTTTATGACTCTTCCTATTTTGAGAAATCGAGCGTGATGTGACGTGACACACACAGGCTTTTACAATAGAACTAAAATTTTAGTTATGTTTAACATCATTTTGTAAAGGGTGGAGGTTGGGAGTTTTACCTTGTATAATTTTTAGGGAGATATTAATCCTTCTTTAAGGTTATGTCTGAGTGTTAAGGGTTACTGCCTTCCCACGACAGGCTGCAGACATCGAAAGGCAGTAAGAGTTGAGACGTTGTGGACGCAAACACTCAACCCCTAACCCTTAACTGATTTTCAGTATTTTAACATCAGCGTCTGGGTTTTGTCTGATAGATGGAATATCCCCAACGCATTTAGGTACTATGACCACAGACATTATCCGTTATGACCTAATGTTGACAACTGTGACTGGTAATGGAAAATAATTGTTTAATTTAGTCTATTTTAATGTTTGTTTTATATTACATTCATTATTGTCTTATAGTGGTAATTTAATCGACTATTGACAATTAATGTAACTGAAAGTATTAGAACTAGTTATATATACAAATATATATATATATATATATATATATATATATATATGTGTGTGTGTGTGTGTGTGCGCGCGCGCGTGTATCTGTGTGTAAGTAAGCTTTAAATAAAATACAAAGCGAAAGTAAGAATTATTCAGTTTTAATATGTTTTACAGACGTTTGGCATGAAGCCCGGTGAGAAAAGGAAGCTAGAGGAGTCCAGCAGCGATGTTATCATGGTTATGCGGACGTCACTTTCGAAGAAAGAGTTTGCAGAAGCTCTTGGAATGAAACCAGACACATTGTTTGTTAAACAGATGTTTAACTGTGTGGACAAGGATAAAGATGGAAGGATCAGTTTTCAAGAGTTTCTGGATACTGTTGTTTTATTCTCCAGAGGTAGGAGTTTAGAGTATATATATATATAATTCTCAGGCTTTCACACTTACACACACGGACGCACATCCAAAGCGGTCATATTATACTTCACTGATTATTACAATAAGTTCTTGACCATAGTTTTAGTAAACGATACTTCAATAAATAGTTTCTTAGTCTGCTATTATAGGATATTCTTGACCAGCGTTTTATTAAACGATACTTCAATAAATAGTTTCTTAGTCTGCTATTATAGTATATTCTTGACCAGAGTTTCAGTAAACGATACTTCAATAAATAGTTTTATTCTGCTATTATAGGATATTCTTGACCAGAGTTTCAATAAACAATACTTCAATAAATAGTTTTAGTCTGCAATTATAGGATATTATTGACCAGAGTTTTAGTAAACGATACTTCAATGAATAGTTTTTTGTCTGCTATTATAGGATATTCTTGACCAGCGTTTTATTAAACGATACTTCAATAAATAGTTTATTAATCTGCTATTATAGGATATTCTTGACCAGACTTTCAGTAAACGATATTTCAATAAATAGTTTCTTAGTCTGCTATTATAGGATATTCTTGACCAGCGTTTTATTAAACGATACTTCAAAAAATAGTTTTTAGTCTGCTATTATAGGATATTCTTGACCAGAGTTTCAGTAACGATACTTCAATAAATAGTTTCTTAGTCTGCTATTATAGGATATTCTTGACCAGAGTTTTAGTAAACGATACTTCAATAAAAAATTTTAAGTTTGCTATTATAGGATATTCTTGACCAGAGTTTTAGTAAATGATACTTTAGTAAATAGTTTCTTAGTCTGCTATTATAGGATATTCGTGACCAGAGTTTCAGTGAACGACTCTTTAATAAGCATATTCTTAATATATTGAAGCTTGGAATATTCACGTTGTTTTGTTGTTATGTAATGCAAATCATGCCTTCAACTGGTAGTCTGTAATGTAAAAACCTTACACCCTCGTCAGTCAGTAGTGTTTAAAGGCGGGTATATTGTAATCATAACAATTATGTCTTCCAGGTAGAACTGAAGACAAACTACGAATAATCTTTGACATGTGTGACAATGACGGGAATGGAGTCATCGATAAGCGCGAGCTAATGAAGATGCTTCGTTCCCTTGTGGACATTGCTAAGACCAATTCCTTAACTGAAAACCAGGTTATGGACCTCATTACTGGGATGTTCGCATCCGCTGGCTTGGAAAACAAGGAGGAACTTACGTACGACGACTTCAAGGTCATGATGAAAGAATATAAAGGAGATTTTATAGCCATTGGTTTAGACTGCAAAGGTGTTTTATCTAATTAAAGTTTATAAAGAAAATAATTTTGATATACTTTGCCTTAAGGCTTGAAATGTTTCAGTTTGTGTATTTGTCTCGTAAAGTTGTAAAACTCAAACATTACCAGCATCAAAGAGGTTGAAATAAGTGAAAATTTCTTTATTCCATCCTCTCCGGTCGGAGTAAAAAAAGTGCACGGCTTGAACCAACATAGTCACCAGGTGACGCAGTAAACGCAATTGTAAATATATATATATATATTGGTGGTTAACTTTTTGTTTATCAGACAAACGTATCGTGATGCTTTTTTTTTCTGTATGAACGCAACTATTTTTCAGATTTTTGTTAAAAATTATATGTACGTTTGCAACAAGTTAACACTTCTTTTGTAATAATACTCAAATAGTTGTAAGCGTTAATTTTTCGCTCTTGTGTGTATTAATTAGTATTCAAATACTAGCTTAGCCTGAAGGAAAATGTAGGAGTGTATTCACAAATATAAAAAAAAATTACAAGGAACTTAACGAATAAAAATTCCCTAGAGCAAGAAATAATAATAATTCTAGGGAAAATTAAGAAAATCTTCTCTAGAGTAAACAAAAGATATTCCAAAGAAATTTAAAGAAATAGTTTTGTAATTTCAAAAAATATATCTCACAAAATGTTTGAAAAACTTATAGTGTAGGAAAATGATATCTTACAAAAGTTACAAAATGAATTCCAGCATTGTTATCCCAATTTGGGTTATGAAGGAGGAGTTAAATATGAACCCCAGCATTGTTATCCCAATTTGAGTTATGAAGGAGGAGTTAAATATGAACCCCAGCATTGTTATCCCAATTTGGGTTATGAAGGAGGAGTTAAATATGAACCCCAGCATTGTTATCCAGTTTGGATTACCTAGGAATAGTTAAAAATTGATTCCATTATTGTTATCTCGTTTGGATTGCCCGCATCCATTCATCCATTAATATTCCAGAGTTAAAAGATGAAGAGTTTATTCCACTATATATGACACGTATGGAAACACCGAATGCATGTAGGTAGGTATTACAGTTAGTTGCACCGATTACATCGGATTTGTGATAGTGGGATGAAAAAGAATCGATTTAGAATTACGTTGAAATGTAAAATGTTAATATAATTAGTTGTGTTACAGTTGCTGTTGTCTTTATATGATTTCATATTTGATTTTGAAGCCAAGCGTTGTTTGTTTACGTAGGAGCCAAGCAAAACTTTTTGGACACATCAACCAACGTTGCAAGGTGAGTAGTGATCGTGAAACATTTTTGGAACAGCACTTAAAACGAAACCTAGACTATGACTTGAATAATAATACTAATTTTTTAGCACAAGTAGGCTTTATTTTGAAACAGTAGTTATAGAGGGTAAATGTCAGGTTTAAGAATGTTATTATGTTTTATGGAATAACTACAAGGAAAGCGTAAAAATGCTCATTTATGTTGATATGTGTAAAGATGGTTTATCTGTATTTCTGTATGAAATGTCAGAAATAATTTTTTAATATTTTCTGCCTGTACAGTAAATAGTAGATGATTGTGGTATGGCGAATTTTATCTTAAGTTGTTTTGTTCTTGTCAAGAGAATGATGGCCCGTAATTATTTCAAACTTTTTGTCCACAGAATGGTCTATACGCGATCAAACTGTTTTACATGCATATTGTTTGGTGCTGCCATCTAGAGGTATAGTCTGTTAGACTCGAAGAGAATATTCTTGTTATTCAATTGGTACTTACGGGATCAAATACTTACATACCACTTTATATCGTATTTTTGTCAAAATAATATATATATTTATGTAAGATATGAGCTTTGTAATTTGTTGTGTTACTTTGTGAATATTTAGAATGACCAGTTTCCAAATCAACCAACCACACGAAGAGTCCCCAAGTTGGTTGCAGCAGAAGTGGAACAATCTGGTTACAATTTTGGAAGAATATCGACAGCACATTTTTTATTTATTTATATTTGGAGTTATTAACATCGTTTTGTTCGTCGAAAGATTTATATGTAAGTCATGTTTGGTGTATTTTTTCGTGAATAAGAAGGATATATGATAATGAATAAATTATAAAGAAACTCTATATTGATCTATGCTAATCCTCAAGTTACTGACTTACTTATATACCATTCACTACCGGTGGAATCCATATACTTTATCATACTGAGTAATTTCGCGTTTTTTCTGTCATGTAAAGAACTGACCAGTAAACATGAATGAAATCACCTATATCTTGTGTAACATACCTTGATAACCATAGCAGTAATTAGTGAGTTTAATTACAGTATTAATGATGTTTTCGTTTAAATATTTTATGTGTTCAACAAAGTCATTGATCCCAAGGCCATTTTATGCAAAAATATTTTATAAAAATTAGTTTAAAAAGTCGACAGACCCCATACGTAATTTTAATGCTGAGCTTAAATAACTGCAAGTTTTAGATTTGAAACGAGTAAGCTTCATTAAGACAGTAAATCCTGCTTCACGACAATTAAAATAGAAGAAAAAACATGAAAATTATACTTTGTACAAATCTGCATTTTGGTTTCAGATTACACGTACATGGCTGAACATATGGATTTACGTCACGTGATGGGGCTTGGCATCGCCTTTACCCGTGGGGCGGCAGCATCCTTGTCTTTCTCTTACTCCTTGTTGCTACTGACCATGTCCAGGAACCTGCTGACCAAATTGCGAGAGCTGCCCATCCACCAATACATCCCCCTTGACTCCCATGTCCAGTTTCACAAGATTGTCGCTTTGACCGCCTTCTTCTTCACAAGTAAATATATCACAACTATAATAGTAAATTTTACAGAATAATATGAACTAAGTTAATGATGATATTTGTATCAACAGAAATGTCTTTATAAATATCAACTCTAAGTTGGTTTTTTTGCTGGGCTCTTATTTTGTTGTAATATATAGAGGTTAATAATCGTTTGAGTGATCTTGTACCAATCAAGTTTCCTTTCTTGTTACTCTAAGACAAAAAAATCTTGTTTGTTGAATTATTCTTTGTGAAAAATTGTCAAATGAGAGTTGTTGTTTTTTTATCCAAGATAATTTATTTATAAAAGTCATTTATAAATTTTATTTTATACGGGTAACAGTGAAACCCCTTTGTAGTCTTTATTGCCAGTTAACCAAAACATTAAACTCATTTAACGAATTTAACTGAAAGTGTGCAAAATCATTGTACAAACATTTAATTTTCCAGTGTTTTTAACATATTTAAATAGAAAACTAGAACTGTTAAATGTTTAGCATGTTTCTTAATTAATCATGCAATAACTGGTCATCACTGACAAACAAGGTGAACATACAGTGGGCTCAGGCTGTTAGAAAACCTTACTTTAGTCTAATATTATTGTTACGTGACAGAGATATTTAAGTCACTATAAAGTGGTTCAATAAGTTATATGAAAATGATTTTGGAGCCTCACCATATATTTACAATACATGTTGCCAATTCCCGATCATGCTCTTTCTGACGACCGTGAATCTTAACAATAGCCCTGCAACGTAGTTTCCATTGCAAAAGATTCCGTCATAAGGCTGCCATTTCCAAAGCACACTAAATCTCCTTGATGACATTCCATAATTCATGTAACTTACGAGTACGACGGTTTCCCAGCGCCCATTTCAACAATCCGGCGAATGACTAGTTATGTTTTCGTATAGAATACCATGAATAACCATTTCATTTTCCAGCTGCTGGAGGTACGTGACGGTTGAACGGTAGGTATGACTGAAAGCCTTATCTAGATGAGCCCATACTCTGTTGGCCAAGATTCTCCACTGAGCTACTTCTTGATTATGTTGCTAACTATTGCGTGCATAGCTTTTCACAGTGTCCTTTATGTTCGTGGTTTCTCATCTGCTACAAGACGCCACACTTTGCTTACCACAGCTTGTTACAAATTGATCCATATGCCTTTGTTTTCCAATGCCATTAAGTACAATGGATATTCCTGTCGTAGAAATTCTAAGTCCCTGTCTGAGCAATTGCTTATGAGCTATTTGTATGGATATTTTACTTCAGAAAGAGTTGTTACGTACCCTTCCCAAAAGTGATCAATGTTTGCTAGCATCATGCTACTTACAAAGCAATGTTAAAATGTAGGTATGATATATGCTGTTTCACCGCAACTTTATATCACCGGTAGTCATTACGTGATTTGCTGATTTGCACATTCAAGATTGTTTTATTATAACGTACTCAATCCTGTACATAGAGCAGAGTTGCCCGTTTGTCTGTTGCCACAAGTTGTAATGAACTGACTAAACCAATTTCAATGTAATTTGGTTGGAGGAATCAGGTTGGACCTCTAGAAGTTGAGTTTAAATGGTTAAGAAATTGTAAAAAGAGTTAGAATTTAAAAACCATTTCAATTTTACTGTTTTAATACTGCGAGTGAAGAGGTCGGTATAACAAAATACATGAAGCCGACGCCAAACGAAAGTGACTCATAACAGGAGTACCTTTACGTTGGACGGATCCTGTGCTATGATTCAAAATGGCGGAAGAAGGTGGCCCATGCCTTCATTTCAAGCATTACTTTTTTAAGCCCAACATTGCCTGGTGCCTTCTAGTTAATAAATCGATACTTATGTTTCACTGTGGGTTCATAAAGGACATTTCAAATACCATATACATAGCGTTTGATTTTTTTCTTACGTAGCAAAGGGTGAGAAAAAATTATGTTTTATATTTATAATTTCATCTTGCAGTGATCCACTCTATCGGCCACTTAATTAACTTCTACCACGTGTCAACACAACCTATAGAACATCTTCATTGTTTATCAAAGGAAGTCCATTTCAAGTAAGTTTGAAGCTGCATTCTATATTGAGTAAGAATGCAAATAAATGTAATTTATTAAATTTAAAAAATATGAGTAGCACCCACTAACTTTCGAACGTTTTTTTTTTTTTTCGAATTTTGTGGCACATCTTCATATGAACATCATATGGAAAGTTTGGCTTTTGTTGTATATAAAATTATGTTTATTGCAATAAGATATTTAATAAATACAAACATAAGAGCCTGGATGTAATAAGAAAAAGAAGATATTTCACAGTGCATTTTCAAAGTTAGTAAAAACAGACTTAGAAGGTTTTTTTACATCTTAAAAAAGACAAACTTTGTAAAAGACTCTGCCTTAGATCTCGTATAATATTTTTAAAAATGTATTTTCTTTATTTTTACAATTCCGATGTTTTAATGTTTGTTAGATGTTTGGCTATTTTATCTCTTTTAGTATAGGCTAGGATCGTAACCACCACTACAGAGTATATGAGCATGTGTGTGTGGGGGGGGGGGGGAGGAAGGGAGGGTGAGTCTTTTTCCAAAACAATGTGGACCTTTTTTTCTACACAACAAATGAAAGTGATCTACATAAAAGTAAAATATTTATTAGAAAACTATCAGAATATACTGGACCTTTTAAACCTCCTCTTCTCCGCTATGCCCCTGGTTTAGATTTCAATTTATTTTGAAGTTTCTCATCAGAAAATATACTTAACAAATGGATAAAACTCGATAAAACTTCGGGTTGTGGGTTCGTCTTCATGAATTGCTTTATCTTTACAGTTCCGACTTCAGACCTACCATAACTTACTGGCTTTTTCAAACAATAACAGGTAAGCATTATTTTTGCTGCAACGTATGTTTAGAATGATTAAAGAAATAGGAATGTAAAGTAAACTGTCGTTTATGTTGTCTTTTATCTTTTAGATATTAATCTTTGATCTTTTCAACAATTGACATAAATGGGTGTTAGATAAGATATTAGATTATAGATTAACTATTTGATCTGTCCAATTTATATATTATAGATACTAGATTAAGTGACCAAGTGGTAGTCAGGTGAATTAATGATAGGTAACTAAGTCGTTCACCTATGATAAATATATAACAAACAGACTTATAATTATGAAACTGGACATTGTTTAAGTTGAATCTGCCGAGTAAGTTGATAGTATTAACCTCGCAACTGAATCTTTATTGTCAGAATCACCAGGACGAGCTTTTCTTACTTAGATATAATATAAAACGGCCATTGAAATTACAATAATTATACATATATATATATATATATATACAGTTTAGCATTGTTAACCATTGTGTTTTTAATTCTTTTCATATAGGCATTACAGGTATCCTACTATTTGCCATAATTTGTATCATCTTTATCTTCGCCCATCCGCTCATCAGACAAAAGGCTTACAAGTATTTCTGGTGCACGCACACATTATATATTCTCGTGTATATCCTGTGTGTTATGCACGGACTGGCCAAGCTAACAGGGGTGAGTTCAAAGACAGATTTCCATACGATTTGTTACACAGTTCGTCATTATATCGTGTGAAATGTAATTAAACAAGCATCATTTTTTTTCACTCGCTACTACTCGTCCTCGTGTAAAAAGTGTTTCTATCAAACAGACGGAGGAGCTAAAATACATATATACGTATTCCAAGATCTAACACCTGTATTGGCTAAGAAAAACAAAACTATAATCTCAGCAGTTCCTCCACTCGCTGTGGTCTTGGAATAAAAGAGTAACTATAATATGTAGCGTAATGAATTATTATATTTCTGTAAGAAATAAACCTGGCGAAAACTTCTATTGTGTGCACGGCTTTTCTCGATCTTATGGCTTTCTATAAAAGTATTCCGTTTCGTTAAATTCGTGCATGATATAAATCACTTCACACTAAGATGAACTTTACCAAATATTAGAGCAAGGACTTAGAGTTAGGTATCATTTTAAGTGTAAATTGTAATACGATTTGCATCTATGAACTTAGAAATTAAGCTTTGGATTTTTTTTTCTTTTTTCTAAGAACGGTGTCACTCCATCCCAAAGTAGGGTACACTTAAAAATACTCGGATCCGAGATTATTTCTGAACAAATCAAATTCCAGACAAATAGATACGCCACGGTATTTTAAAGTTATTTTGTTTATTGATACAGAATATCACTGTAGCCAGATATTTCTTAAGTGACAGATATGTCTGTATGCCCTTTGGTGTCGTTCTTAACATGGCAGTATATATATTAATGTATAAATTTGTGTCTTTGGTTGTCCGTCAACTCCTCCCACAGTTTTGGAGCTAGTTGGACCAAACTTATCAGCGGACTAGGGGTGGTCCGCGATTTGCACTAATCTATATGGTGTAGCTCCCCTACATAGAATGTACAAAAGAGAGCTAAAACACGTCCGGGAGGTCATCCAGTTCAAAATATAAGTCTAGGATTAGTTTTTTAGGGTTGCTGAACCCCAATCTGCCATCGAATTTTGTGTTCATGGCTCTCCTCGGAATCCTGGGTCCGCCATGTCTGAGACTGTGTTTACATCCTCACCCAAAAGCTAGCAGGACTAAATTTGACACGTGCTCAGGTACCACGGGCGGTTGTCCAAACGGGGTTTCTTTCAGGCACTGAACCTCCTTAGAATAGCTATAGAAGTAATTGGAGTAACTTGATCGGTACATTGGGGCCTCTGTGAATCATAATGGGGCCTTTGAACCCTGAAAGGAGAGAAGTATGCTAGTGCTATTAAACACCATAAGATCAACATCCTTGACTGAACAGCATCACTTATCAACCTAAAGCTGGATGATTATTGTCTGAAAAAAAAAAAGATTAGTGAAAATAATTACAACTACGACATCTTAGTTACAATTAACTTTTTTTATTTTATAAAAGCAGCGAATGAATATCTTTTTCTTGAATTAAAATATCACCCAAATCAACATTTTCATCACTATATTCTTATAAAAAAATTTGTCTTATTGCTGTAAAAGAAATTATGTATAAGATGAATGACTAAACCGATACAGGAAGGTTACGTATGCAACGTAGTGGTGAAATTGTCATCGAACAATTTGTATTATATGATTCATATGCTTGAATTTAAACCATTAATAATTATTCATGACATAGGCTACGAAAACGTAACCATATTTTATAGCTAAAAATAATCCTTTAATTTTTAGGCACCTCGGTTTTGGTATTTTTTCATTGTTCCGGCAATAATATTTGTACTGGACAAAGTTATCAGTTTGCAGACGAAGTTCATGGAACTGGATATTTTAGAAACTGAACTGCTGCCATCCGGTAAGTTAGTCTTTTCATGATATGAAATGCTATTAACAAAGAGACAATTAGCTTTTTACGATCCGATATATCACTATTTTCTTAAGAAACATAACTTTTTGTTGGTGTTTATTCTTAATTATAACGTTTTTCTTAGAGAAATCAACGTGCAATATTTCCATTATGCATGAATTTTCAAACAAAAATTACTTTTATTTATGTCTGTAAATAATTTATGCTGTCTGGTAAGACGTTATTTTGTTGACTATTATGGGATTTAATTTAGATATTTTAACATGAGATCTGTTAATTTAAATTATAATTTTCCTTATTCTCAGATGTTACTAAGGTCAAGTTTTCCAGACCACCAAATTTCAAGTATCTGTCAGGTCAGTGGGTTAGATTAACATGTACAGGATTTCGACCAATGGAATATCACTCTTTGACACTGACGTCAGCACCGCACGAGAACTACTTATCAGTGCACGTGAAAGCACAAGGCCCGTGGACATGGAAACTGAGGAATTTTTTTGATCCGAGTAACATTAGGGATGAAGAGCTGCCAAAGGTATTTACAGTGAAAGAACAAGGTTCAATATTTTTTCCATTTTTTTTCTGTGTATTACCAAACAAATTTGTATCTTTCAAACCCGGTTGGACAGCTAGTTAACATTTAGGGAATTAAAAAACTACCTTCTTTGCATAAATAGTATACTTTTGGAACTGAATATGGAGCTCCAAACTATGATGCAAAATTGAAAAAGTGACATACACAGAAGCACAAACAGGCAAATAAAGATTTAACTGTTATACTACTTGTATATAACAGCTAAATCTTTGCAATACAAGTAGTATAACAGCTATACTGTTAGTATAGCAGCTAAATACTTGCTATTACTTGTATTGCAAATATTTAACTGTTATACTAATTGTATCGCAAGGATTTAGCTGCTACACTAACTGTATTGCAAATATTTAGCTGTTATACTACTTGCATTGCAAATAATTAGCTGTTATAGTAATTGTATAGCAAATATTTAGCTGTTATAGTAATTGTATAGCAAATATTTAGCTGCTATACTAATTGTATAGCAAATATTTAGCTGTTATACTACTTGTATTCCAAAGATTTAGCTGTTATACTACTTGTATTGCAAATATTTAGCTATTACACTACTTGCATTGCAAATATTTAACTGTTATAGTAATTGTATAGCAAATATTTAGCTGCTATACTAATTGTATAGCAAATATTTAGCTGTTATACTACTTGAAAAAATTCTTAAAACTTTCTGTTTTATTGTTTTTTTCTCTGTTCCAAATTACTTTACGAAGATAATTTTCAGATAATCGTAATATTGTGTATATTGCGTGGTACTTCGGCACCATTAGTATGTTCTACTGGTTTTTTGATAGCAATGCTATTTTCATTTAGTTGTGTGTAGAAGCATTGTATCAGTAACAAAATATGCTGATACTGTTATTTCACTTAAACCTTTAGGGTACAGTTACATCAGCTTTTACACACACACAACCATTGGCTTGGGGTTAATCAATACTCATTTCTTTCGTAGTAATTTCGAAACCATAAATGGATTAACCAAATTTTTACTATAGAAGCTTTCACAAATGTGATATTCGCAGCTAAAATTGTTCATTGACAAGAAAGTTAAAAAGTGCCACAGTAAAGAAGGAATGATAGGATAAGATTGCGAAAAAAATACGTTAAACAGACCAGTGAAATAAGGAGACTGGGCACAGATGTTTCAAACAGAAACACAATATTTATCGTTTCATAAAATAAAAGAGTGCATCACAATGTTTTCTTTTATAACAAACGTACTGTGTGCATAGTGTTCTGTTGCACTAGCTTGCTGGCTTCTTCACGAAAGCAGTTAATGGAATTGGATTACAGTACCAAGAATAAAGAAAATATTTTGTGGGCCTAAGATACAGGAAACCTGTCTGGTTCAAAGCTTAAGTTGGCCATCCAGAAATTGTAACTGCATACGTTATGAGTCAGTATCGGCGTTAAGTGTATCGTCCAAGGCATCCCTCTGTAATCAGGTGCATTAGCTTGGCCACTGGCGGAAAGGTACAGACATGTAGACTGGCGCCTGTTGTGTGTGTGACTAATCTAGTGATTGTATTAAGGGAAGCTAAAGCTGTTCATGCTCTATTCACAAGAGCACCAAAGAAACGTAAGAAAATACACGTAAATTTAAAGGAAATACTGAACATATTTTAAATAATGCATATTTACGAACTAGTTATGAAAGAGTTAAGATAAATTTCTAATTACCAAACAATATATATATATATATATGTATATATGCGTGTGTGTGTGTGTTTATTGCAAACATAGGTTTTAATACATAGGTTTTAAAGTACTACAATATTGTATATTATTAAATTAATTCAACAGTTTCAGATCTAAGTTGTTTTTTTTAATAGCGATGTATTTTGTATATCTTGTTTTCAGTGTTTTGATGATATTGTACAATATTTTTCTGGCACTGCGTTTCAACAATCTGTTTAATGATTCCGAAATGATGACTGCTTCAATGAAAAGAAAGTACTTTGTGACCCTATTTTTCTTGTTTACATTTCAAATACCTATTACTATTATGCAATTAACAGAAACAGGTAAAATATTAAGATATAATTTGTACGAATGGTAATATAAAAAAAGCAGTTTAATATTGTTCAGCTCTGTGTCATTATTATTATGCTTCATAGATTCGCTTAGAAGGACCGTTTGGTGGAGGTAACCAGGATTGGTACAAATTTGAGATTGCTGTGATGGTCGGTGGCGGCATTGGTGTTACGCCCTATGCTTCCATTCTGAATGATCTTGTTTTTGGAACATCCACCAACAGATATTCTGGTGTGGCCTGTAAAAAGGTAATTATTTATGACTATTAGCTGTAATTCAAAATGATTTTATTAATTTTGAAGAAAAAGGTTTTAAAGAAATAGTTTTAATTTAAAAACAAGCGATAATGGCAAATAAGTGATAAATAAAAAACGAACAGAAATGTTCGTCAGTTATCATTTGATTTTTCTCAGATTTTTATGTTCATATCATGGTGACCAAAGTACAGGGATCAACAATAATACAGGTTTAACGATTTACAGGTAGATTAAATTGAATAGGGTGAGGCAGGATAATGCAGTTATATCCTTAATTTTAAATTTCTTTTCAAATTGTCTTCTATAACTACAAATTGAGTATTGATAAAAGATAATGGAGATTTATAATGTAGCGTATATTATAATGTTTATGAGAGCAAAGGACAAACGTGTCTGCTCCCTTTGAATTTAAGGTAGAATGTGCTTTGTTATTTTTCTTCTAATAGGCTATGTTACTAGGTGTAAATACTAACACCCTTTTCTGGCTCAGTAGAAGCCAAGAAAATGTAACTTACTAAGGTACAAGTGAACCTAACTACTATTTAAGGAGGAGTATTGAATCTCATTGTGATGAATAAATGTTATAACTGAGTGGTCGTGTGTGAAAATACAAGAGGGAATCTTCTATAGCCGCGGCTGTAATTAGATCTCAAATCGGTCAAGAGATGGAGCTATGAGCTAAAAGTAATAAACAACAAATAAACTCAGAGCCATTCTATGAGCGGCTGAAAATGACGTGAGGTATGCAAAACAACAAAATACCATTAAAGTGAAACGACACTCATCGGACCTATCAAATGACACCGTACCTCATTATAATTGAAATATTTGTGGAATTTTCCTGACAAGCAATCATCAGCTTCAGTCTCCCTTCATTGACTGGCTGAAAACTGTAATAAAAATCAAGTCGCTCTTGCTGTGAAGGTAGTTAGTAGGCTATCGGCCCTAATTTTGAAGTGATATACTAGAGAGAAGGCAGCTAGTCAAGACCATTCACTGCCAACTCTTGGACTTGTCTTGTCAGACCGAATAGGGACATTTCACCATCACTTTTATAACGCGTCCACGGCCCCATAATGCGGATCGCGATTTTGTGACAGGGGGGAGAAGACGGTTTTGTCTATTTCTTTGTTTGCAGTTAAGCACAAAGCTACACAATGGGCTATCTGTGCTCTGCCCACCACGAGTATTGAAACCCGTTTTTTTAGCGCTGTAACTCCACAGACATACCGCTGGGCCACTGGGGGCTGGGGAAAGACAGTAAGTGACACTAATGTTCATATTAACCGAAATACAGATATGTATAAAAAGTCCAAATTGTTTAGCCCGACAATAGGTTCCTACAGCTGTTATATGCCGGTATTATTCAATATAAAACGTAGTATTTAGGTTAACATCATTAGTTTGGAATACTTAAAAAACTTGTATAACGAATAAAGTTACTCTTTTCACTCTTTCCAGCTTTCCTTGAATCATATAAAACCTAACTCAAGTGTTTAATCTTTTCTGTCATATTTTAAGTGTCGCTTATGTGAACATGTGTACAGATAAATACATGTATTTTTTACTGTAATGTACGAAACATCTTGCATATATATCCTTCCCTGACTTGCTAGTACTTTCACCTATAGGTTTACTTCCTGTGGATATGTCCTTCTCATCGGCACTTTGAATGGTTCATTGATGTTTTGAGGGACGTAGAACGTAAGGATGTCACCAATGTTTTGGAAATCCATATCTTTATTACCCAGTTTTTCCACAAGTTCGACTTGAGGACTACCATGTTGGTAAGTAGTAGTACACAATTACCTCCAATGTTCTGGAGATCCACATCTTTATTACTCAGTTTTTCCACAAGTTCGACTTGAGGACTACCATGTTGGTAAGTAGTAGTACACAATTACCTCCATGTTCTGGAGATCCACATCTTTATTACTCAGTTTTTATCACAAGTTAGACTTGAGAATTTCGATGTTGGTAAGTAGCACAATTATCTCCAATGTTCTGGAGATCCACATCTTTATTACTCAGTTTTTATCACAAGTTAGACTTGAGAATTCTCATGTTGGTAAGTAGTAGTACACAATTACCTCCATGTTCTGGAGATCCACATCTTTATTACTCAGTTTTTCCACAAGTTAGACTTGAGAATTTCCATGTTGGTAAGTAGCACAATTATCTCCACTTTTCTGGAGATCCACATCTTTATTACTCAGTTTTATCACAAGTTTGACTTGAGAGCTACGAGGTTGGTAAATAATGCGGTATCTCCGATGCTCAAGATGTCCATCTTTCGATTTCTCAGTTCTTTCCACAAGTTTGATTTAAGGAATACCACTTTCGTAAGGTACTCAATTCTCATTGTTTAACGAGATTATATGTATTATCATTGTTGAACTGTAATCCAAGTCATATCTTATAAATAGTATCTACATACCCTATTTCGCATCGATGTTGCGTTGCTGTTAAGTATGTTCTATATAATTTTTCAATAAACACATTCATATTGCTTTCATGTTCTCTATTTCACACACCTGTTGCTTTTGGGTTCAGTATCTCGCAACATCTTTTGTTATTATCACGTGTCACTTCTACTATTTTTGTCGTTGTTTTCGATATTAAGCGCAACGTTTTCTTTTGATATAAATATATGTGATTACCTTCAGAATTTTAACTTTCTCTTAATGAGTTTGATTTGTGTAACCAAGGATGTAGCATATAAAATATTTGTCTTCCTGTAAGGAAGAAAAACTGAATTTATTTATCTGTTAGATAATCCATTTTTTCTTTGTTTCCGTACAACCTGTAATTAATAATTTATGCACACCCAGTGCTAGCGGTTTTTGCTTATGTACGAACCTTATTATACAAAGTAACGAGACTGTAAGATTTTATTTGTACACCATTAAAAAAAAAAGATTTATTTGAGCAAATAACTTATCTTGAGTATGATTTTGTACCATTTTATTTGTGTACTTACCTCAAGTAGACCTAAATCAAATCCCACCCATTGTCACAGGTCTACTTGAGGTAAGTACACAAATAAAATGGTACAAAATCATACTCAAGATAAGTTACTTGCTCAAATAAATCTTTAAAATAAATCCAAATAAAGGCACACTTCCTCACTTACTTTTAGTGGAAGGTAATAAATTTCATAGGTCTGGATGAGATGTGTGTGTATAATCAAATCCCACCCATTGTCAATACACACACATCTCATCCAGACCTATGAAATTTATTACCTTCCACTAAAAGTAAGCGAGGAAGTGTGCCTTTATTTTCTTTTATCATAAACAACCCAGCTGTGAGTTTTTCTTTATCTGCATCACGTTTATAACATATATTATTTCGAAGTAATAGCCGATCGAATATAAACTACTGAGTGTGTGATATGCATTGTGTGTTATTGATTTTAAGTATCACAGTTAACTATAGTTTTTAAGGTATGCTCTGTTTAATTATTATTATTACTAAAGACTACACTTTCCCGAATTTGAAACTAGTTCTTTTTTTCCAGTATATCTGTGAGAACCACTTCCAGAGAATCTCCAACTCAAGTATGTTCACTGGTTTAAAAGCTGTCAATCACTTCGGGAGACCTGATATGAACGCCTTTCTCAAGTTTGTTAGAGAACAACATTCTTACGTAAGTTTTCTGTACATTATATAATTTAATTGGTTTATGGCACTCGACTCGCAATCTGAGGGTCGCTGGTTCGAATCCCCGTCACACCAAACATGCTCGCCCTTTTAGCCGTGAGGGCATTATAATGTGACGGTCAATCCCACTATTCGTTGGTAAGAGTTGGCGGTGGGTAGTGATGACTAGCTGCCTTCCCTCTAGTCTTACACTGCTAAATTAGGGACGGCTAGCGCAGATAGCCCTCGTGTAGTTTTGCGCGAAATTCAAAAACAAGCAATCATTAGACATTGACACATATTTTGGAGACAAACAACATCAGTAATATAACTTGTTGTTAATTTAGATTCTGAGTACAGTTTATGTTTCTTATCAACTGAAAGTAATCATTATTTACAATCTTAACATTTATACTTTAAAATAAAGAGTATCGTCTCTGTGTGGTTAGTAAACATTTGTTTTATTTTAATTTTTGTAACCTGTCTTTATTTAAATTTGAAAAATTATACATTTATTGATTTGATGTTAATCTATAATTTGGTTTTGTAACATTTTTTTTTTCAAATGTTCTTGCAGATGAGCAAGGTTGGGGTGTTCAGCTGTGGACCTACAGCCTTAACCAAGTCTATAAGCTCAGCCATCGAGAGCGTCAATAATTCTAGGAAACTTCCGCACTTCATCCATCACTTTGAAAACTTCTGAGCGTTTGCGCATGTGCGTGTTTCCGTGCCATTTCAGCAATCCTGGTCAAAAGCCAAAAATAATATTAATGATAACATAGAAACAATACTTATCGGTAACAAGGTAAACTCCTATTACTTAAAATAAAAGTAGTGAATGGAAGAAACTGTATAAAATACTTGCAAATGAACCGAGAAATGTGGTAAACTTACAATGTGAAAGTAAACTTTTCTTAAAGTATTTCTGAGTTGACATATGAATCCAACTACTAATAAAGCATTTTAATTATTTACATATACAGTCATTCTATTAAAAGACGCAGAGATTTGATTCGAAAGTACATATATAATATGATAATTAATGATATATTATACTACTTAAAAACAATTTGACCCCTTTGGTCGTATCGATATATAGATTCGATTTTTTTTAGAAAATACGTCGATGTAATATTTTTTTATAATATATTCCATTTAATAGACGTTTGGAGAGCTGGTTCGAAACCGTAACCTCCTAGTGTCTGAACACTAAAATCTGGGGTTCAATCCCTGCTGTTAGTACAACATAGATAGCCCACTGTGCAGCTTTGCGCTTAAACCGTTTCTATACTTTTGTTACAGGAAGATTCGGAAAATTAAAACAGTACAATATTTTAAGTCTTTGCACTTGTTATAAAATGAATTTTTTAAAGTTTAAACAAAAGTTTACAAAAAGTTTTTAAAGTTTTGTAGAGATTTCTTTGATAACTTGACCCACAAAGTTTCTAAATTTTGCCAAAGATTCTCTGCTAATTAGAAAACAAGTATTCTGAAAGATATTGCGATAGAAACTGTGAACTACAACATGTGTTTATTGTTTTAAATACAAATATTACAACCTCAGCGTAAACATATTTATATAACTTCGTATTGTGATACTGTTTTATATGTTTATAAGTATTTTTATTCGTTTAAGTTACTTATGATAATGCAGAAGTTTTGTAAAAACTTACTGCGTACTCAGTGCTTTTTAAATGTTTTAATTCTTTGTATTTTGTACAAGTTGTTGATTAATGGATAAGAAACAAACGTTTTGATTTAGTAATATGTGATAAACAATATTCTTTAGCCGTGTAACTGTTTTAGGTTACGATAAAGATCTGTACGTCTAGTGCTATCTTATCTTAACTAAAAGATGAACGACAGCTTATTTAATGCAAGCTTTATACTATTGTGCTGATTATAGTAATCTAAGCGTAAGCGTAAGTCCTCCGTCCACAAAAATAGTAACTATTAAATTTTTTGGGATTAAAGATGTGACTTAAAATATCCAATATTAACATAAAACTATTGAACTTTTGAGTTTTTTAGGAACATTAAGCCACAAGTATAATTTGTGTTACAGTTTAGTATAAAGGGGATATCCACTTTTGCCATCAGTTTTTTTATTTTATTTTATCTTAATATTTTATGTGGCTGGAAATCTTAAACAGAATTACTTTGTGTCAAATTCGTAGACATTTGTTTGAAAGTTTACTACCGAAATTGAAAATTGCGTTGACTTGAAATAAAAACCGCGGGTCTTTTTCTTATAGAGATGTTTTGTGTAAACTCTCCTTATGTAAAGTGTGTTAAAAGGAAGTAACTGTGTGTTCTTTAAGATTCAAAATGTGTATATAATCCAACAGTAAATGTGATAAATAATTGTATTCATAAAGTGCTTTCGAGTCTATTAAGCACCCTCTGAGGACATTTGTTGTAATCTGAGGACAGTTGCATATTGGATAGATGGAATCACGTTTATAGTAATCTGCAGACAATTACGGTATTGGATGAAAGGGGTCACTTTTTAGTAACCTGAAGCGGTTCTGTTTTTGGACTGTAATGTCCTCTGACACTTTTGTAGTAACCCAAAGACGGTCCCGGTATTGGATAAATGCCCTCTGAAAACGCTTGTAGCAGCCTGAAGGTTTGGCATTGAATGACTTCCCCCCGAGAACGCTTGTACAGAACTCGAAGCCGGTGTCGGTATTAGATAAATGCGCTCCTAGGGCACTAGAAGTAATCTGAATAATAATTATGTATTGGATTTATGTGCTCCGAGGACACTTGAAGTGATTTTCGGAGCGCATTTATCTAATATCGGATCCTTCTTCTGACACTAGAAGTAATCAGAAGAATGTTTCGGTATTGGATATATGTGCTCCGAGGACACTTGAAGTAATCTGAAGAAGGATCCAGTATTGAATAATTGCCTTACAAGGACAGGTCCAATATTGAAAGTTTTATCTCAATAAACCTGCTTGAAAATGTAGATATCCCGTTATTGTTTGCGGTATAATACAAAGGTTTATAAAATATAAAGAGTCACAAACTACTCAAAATATGTTCCTCTATTATTGAAAATTTGCATCTTGGTATAATGTATTTGTTTGGGTGATTGGTTTGTAATTTATGATGGTTTTTTTTACGATCAGGGCTAAAGGATGTGCAATTTATGGAATAAAATAGTAATTTAATTTTTGGTTATAGTAGCTTCTTGTTTCTTTTGAGGGGGCTTAAAGAATGTTAAGACAAATCAAATAGCATCACTTCTTCACTGGTAAGATGTCATTGTAATGACTCTTACGAAAATATGACGTCTGTGATTTTGTTATTAATATTTATTCACAATTTTCGTGGTCATATAAAACATACAAGTAAGTTATAAAACAATGAAACATACTGGTGGAGACTGGTAACATCTACACTAATATCGGACTGAGCGAACTGTTTCGAGTTATAAGATATAACATTTCGACAATTGTTACCATAAGATAACACTGAGATAAAGTATATGAAATTATAGAATATCAACGTATACATTATATTAATATGGAATTATTGATAACTTCTGACTTTTTGAATCTAATAATATGGTATAGGACCTAACATTTTAATTTGAAATAATAATATCATTATACATTTTCAAATCTCTTTACATGAACATAATAATGATAATGCTATGGTAGTGCAAGTTGGATTCTGGCGTTGCAATGGTAACGTCGAAATGTTTAAAACCAGTCAAGCACATTGTAATACAGATAATTAAATTCAGCCATTCTGAAAACACCAAGTACATTAAAACACACACATATATTATGATTAATAATTCGCCAACTTTAACTTTGGCTATATTTGAGCATGCTTTAATTTCAAAAGTAATTTATGTGAGTTCGTTTTATATCGAAATAACAATATTTACAATAGGCTTAACTAATTAGCAGTTTTGGCTCCTAATGAAAAAATTGATAAAGAGAATGCTAGCAAAATGTTTCTCACAAATTTATTAAATTTCCTGGAAAAAAATAAATAATTAGCCTGACTTCTATAGTTGAATTGGGATATGTTTATATTGAAAAACAAAATACTTGTACACTAGTAAATTAAAAAAAAAATGCAATAGAATTATTGAGCAGAAATGGAAGTCTAACTAAAAAGAGAATCCCCATGGTAAAACCAAAG